GTGGATAAGTTCTCACATTCACCGGAAACTTACTCTCCAAATCGGTGTTTCACTCCCTGAGGCAGCTGCCTATCAGAAATGTGTGAGATGTCCTCTCCAAACAGCTGATAACAGAATAAAGCCACCAGCTATCTTCGAGGATCAAAGTAGAACGTGTTTTTTAAGCTTAAAATTTTGGAAAAAGACATTAAAGACCTCTTCCAGACAGATGTGCAGTAAACTCATGTGAAGGAAGGTCAGGCTAATTTACTGCCTCTATAAAGTCACAGTGCCAATTAACTGTTTCCACTGCAAACACTGAAGGCTTTCCACAGGTGGCTATAAAGCATAAGGAATCATCTGCAGTAAGGACACTTGGGTAAAGAGCGTGTCTGCCATAAGGCCATCCCATTAAACTGAAGTACATTTTAAGGCTTCTCATTTCTCTAAGTGTTTACATATTAGGACCCAAGAGCCAAAATCTCCCAATTAAAAATAAATACAGCATTAAGAGTGATGGGACATAGGAAACAGGCAGTGCTTAATAAATACATTTCATAACATACTAGAGAAAAATCAATGAGAAAAAGAGTATTTCTGCTAAATCCCTGCAAGAATCCTACAATTTCTCAGAGCTCCACTGGTTTTAAGTTTGTCTCTGACCTGGAGGACATAAATAGAGAAGCAGAGAACCTCACACCCACTCATGCAGCGAGTTTATCCCTCTTCAATGTGCTGCTTGCGGCAGGAGCCCTTCATCGACCGAGAGCTCCCCAGTAGCTGGGGTAAGCCCACACACACCTACAGTCACATTAAGTATAGTAGCTGGTTCCCAACTGAACAGCCTTCATTTACCAGCACCCTGCCCATCCTTCACATGCTGCTGGTAGAGGTGAAGCACTGCAACGCATCCCTGCGATAAGCAAGGCATTAAGAGGAATACAACTTTGGTTTTTGCTATTGTAGAAATCAGAGCATGTCACTTCTGAGGCCAGCAATTTGCATGCGCTTCCTCAAAAATAATCAAAGTTAATTTGTGATAAAAACACCGAAATCTGTTACTAGCCTGGCCACAAGGACAACTCCTGCAGCACAAGAGCTGGGCGATGCCATAAAAATCAGGCTCCATAATTTAATGGAATCCTGAGCATTAACCCCAAAAGCAGTCATACTTAGTATTAAAATATTAGAGATACCCTCCTATTTCTTCACCAAAAACTTTTATCTTCAGAGCCACAGACAGAAAAGATAGCTCTGCACATCCTTCAACCAAGAGTAACATGTAGTTGGACTTTACGGTTTTAGCAGTGAAAGAGCTCAGGAGGCTCCCAAGTCCACAGAAACTTTGACTCATGCCTTCAGCACACGTTATTAATAAGAGTACTTGGTATAACACTCAGGAAAACACACTCGTGTGCATTAGGCCTATGCTTAACTCACATAAAACGCTCTTCCCTTCCAGAAAGCCAGCAGCACAGCAAGATACCAACCCTGAATAAGGGAAAACCTGCCAGCCTGCACTGCAGCATCACACACTGCATGCACATTTGCACTTGCCTGCGCTTGGACCTGTCAGGGCTTGGGCCTACCACGAGCAGCAGCAGCACGTGAGCACCTCCACATGAAACAGCAAAGGGCAATGGCCACACGCATGTGGTCACAGAGGTTTATATTATTTTAAAATGCCAGTGCCCATGGCATACCTAGGCAATAAAAGGCATGAGGAAGCTCTTATTCACACCTCACATGCTGTTTCAAGGTAACAGTGCAGCTCTGTAGAGATCCCTACATCCATGGATCTCTGATCAACCCTTGAATGTTATGAACCCCCAAACCCGGGCACCTTCCCTAAGGAGGCAGAGCCTTCTTGACCTACCACAAAAACACAACAGCCACCCACATCGCACTGGGTCTCCAGCTATCCCATACTCGCACAGGCTCTTCAACAAAATGACATTTTAAACATCACATCTGAGGTAACCACCACAGCAGCATTTCTACCTCTTACCCTGGTTTTAAGTCCAAAGGAAATTTGGAAGTTACTGAGCTCACTTTCTGATACTCAGAAGTGCTGGTTAGGCTCACAGACACCTGCTGCAGCTCATTATATTCCATCAGCGTAAGGGAGAAGATCCAAAATTACTATTAAAAGATATACTACTAAAACTACTAGCCACATCAAAGCAAAAGCACGAAGTGAAAGAGGACACAGCCGCACTCCACAGCCCTGGAGACAGCACCAAAGGCGCACGTGGACCCAAGGAACTGGAGGCTTCTGAAACCTCCAGTGCCGCTGCTGAGAAAGGCTGGCTGCCTTCATCCAAGAGCCATCCCATTTCAACAACACTCCATGCCTTTCTAAACAACTTGCAGGAAAAAAACAGGACATACAACTTAGACATGCAGGATAAGACACAGCGAGAGAGGAGAAAACCTCCTCCAGCTAAGCTGATCATTTTCCTATTTTAGATGGTTCTCCCTACATCAGCATTATCCCGTTATTATCCCGTTAGATCCACACCCATTCCCCACGCAGCGTCCCCCGTGGGCCTGGTGCAGGAAGCGAGGCTGAGTCACGTCCAGCTGTGCTCCCAGATAACGCTGCCCGCCGCAGCGGCGTGTCTCGCCGTGCAGAGACACTGGACGTGCTGCATCATTCACAAAGCCCACCTTACCTGGTGAAGATGGTGAGGCAGAAAGAGCATTCCCCAAAATACTAGTCTGCTATTGCAGTTTTGGCAGAGGTAACTCAAATCACGGATTCCGAGTATATCAGAGACAGTGGGTCTGGAACTTGGGCTGTTACCAACACTAGTCATGCATACAACACCCGAGCCAAAGAAACAAAAAAAGAAGTTAACGTACACAGCATCAACAATAAAACCCACAAACAAAAGAACACCTTCCTGCTGATTACTATTTCTGCTTTACACATCATGTATACGTTTATCACGAGAAGCAGTTCCATATAAGACCCTATTTAAGAAGCAATTGATGTTCCGTGTTGTGTTGTTGCTCCAGTGTCAGTTATCCGACCAGACTGCTCCAGGACTGACCACTGCAACCACCTGGGAAGAAAATTCTCTTTTCTGAGTGTTCACCCTGATGTTGCAGTCTCCATTCCTGTTTTGGGACTGCTTAACCACTGCATCCGTTCCCCCCAACTTGTAATTCCCACATCTAGCACAGAAATGAAATGCCAGAAATCAGGCAGCGCACAGAAGCAGCCTTGCTCGATACTACAAGATGTGTCAAACACATGCAACCAAATGGAATATTAATCTTCCCTAGAAGAAAGCTCAATAATGCAGAAAAACAGGATGTCTATCCCCCCAAAAAATCAGGGTGTACCAGAAGAGCAAAAACAAATGAAACAGCCAAATCTCACCATCTCTAAATACCACTTTCTCTCATAGCAAAGATAAGTCCACCTGAGCTCTCACACACCTGTATGTAACTGACTTCACCTCCAACAGATCATCATCCACAGCTGTCTTGGAGGAGAAAAAAAAAAAGAAAAGAACTATTGCAGAGAAAAAAAGAAAAAGCTGCTATAAGAAACCGTGACAAACTCCTCAAGAGCAGCGGACAAAGGAGAGGATTATACAGACTGAGCACCTCTGTGAGCCTGCTCCAGAGTTAAAGCCTCAGAAGTCTCCCAAGGCAAACACGAGCCGCTGCTTTGTAGACCAGTGAACTGAGCCTCACATCTCTGTGGAGGTCTCTAACCACGCGTCACTTTCCCCACAGGGGAGTCCAAATGTAGTTTAAGTTTATTCTGAAATATACCGACTCTCCCATACACTTCTTCCCTTGCCCCTTCAGATGCAGCTGAAGTTCTCAAGAACCTGATCCATCACACAGAAAAGCTGGCTCTGCAACCCTAGCCCATGCTACAATATTCTCGACATCATCCAAACACTTCAGAAAGACCCAGGACTTTCTGGTAATACCCAAATCCCCATAAATCAGGTATTTGTGACCCTTAATGACCCACTGCCAGCTGTATCTTGGCTTCCTTACACTTTTACTGAGTTCTTGACATTAAGATTACTCAGATTTCTCAGAAAGATCCACCCAGGCAGGTAGGATTTGCCAGTAAACCAAGTGTAAACACAGGAATGACCCTTCAGAAGTCACGCCCTGGCTTTCTAGGGACATACAAACCAAAATCAGAATTCATTACTAAAATTTAACTTGGGTTCTGTTCAGACCCAGGAAGCCCCCTTCCCGCTAGTTATTTAAGTTGTGGACACAAAGCTGAGTAACAGGGAAAACGCAGAAACGGACAAAAGTGAAAACATGGAAACAGGAGCAAGGGGAAACGGTTAAACTTCGGATGTCCGAGCAGAGCGGTGAAGCGCAGCGCTCCAGCCCCGCAGGGACCTTCTAGTCCCTCAGATCCCCAAGAGCTGCTTTTGTTCAGGACAAGGCAAGAAATAAAATAATAAATAAAAAAATAAAACCGGACAGGCCTCCAGGTAGCACCGACGTGCACCCGCTGGGCCCAGCTTGGCCCAAACCGAGGCTTTTTATCCCCAAGCAGGGATAAATCCCACAATCCCACTCTGTCCGAGCAGGATGGAAGGCGCTGGGGTGGGAATGGGCTCTGGGGAGGCAGAAATCGCCCCGCTGGCCTCAAACTCTGCAAGACTCAGGCTCTTTGCACCTCACACCGCTGTTATTTAGTGGGAGCGGGGTGTCCCGTGGGCTTTGCCAGCGCCCCGGCGCCTCAGGGAGAGGCGCGGGGCAGAGTCACAGCCTGCTGCAAGGTCTTAGCTGAAGGAGAGAAAAAAAGAAGGAAGGAAAGAAAAGTCTAAGCAAGTTCCAGGCCGGTTGTGCGGGGGGAAGAAGAAAGCGGCGGCCGGGCCGTTCGCGCGGGGGCATCAAAGGGGAAAGCAGCGGCCGGGCGGCAGCGGCGCCCCGGCCCGGCGCGGTCCCGCCGGCCCGGCCCGCTCGGATCCGCTCCGCTCCGCTCGGCTCGGCGCTGCGGGCGCAACAGGCGGCAGCGCGGGGCTCACCTACGCCGTACTTCTCCTCCCTCTTGGTGGGCACCCAGCGGGTCATGGCGCGGGCTCGAGCAGGGGGGAAGGGGGAGAGGGGGAGCGAGCGGGGCGCCGCGGCGGGCGGGGATGCCAGAGCCCCGCTCCTTAAGCCGCCATTTTCCAGCGGCGGGACGGGAAAAGTTTCTCCCGGCGGCGGCGGAGTCATGTGGTGCGGGCGGAGCCAGCGGCCGGGCCGGCCCGGGCTGCCCGCCGCGACCCGCCGCGCCGCCTTTTGTCTCCTTTTTCGCCCTTTTTGCCCCGATACCCGCGCCAGGCCCGGGTGGGGCTCCCGGGGAAGCCCACCAGGCTGCTCCCTGTTTGTCACTTCAGAGCTGCCTGTTGCTATTAGGGTCCCCGTGCACCTCAACTTCTTAGGGTCCCCAGAGGAACCCAGCAACCCCCCGGCTCCCTGTGGACTTACCTGCCTTAAATTAATCAATTTCTTGTCTCCTTTTAGCTCCTGTTCTCTCTTTATTGCAAGCTAAACGCTCAACTTTCCTTGTTACCCTCATCTTAAGCCTTTTCTGTCCCCACGTTTTCCTCTCTGGCCTTCAATGACTTCCACCTGGTTTCCTTCCCAGAGATGCCACCTGAAACAACTTTTCTGTTGATATTTAAGACTAGCATTGGGTGTCTTCACTGACAATTAAGTCGTTTCACAACAATTAGAAGCACCTGATTTTAAACCCGGTTAGCTCTGCAGCTGATGAGGAAGATGGTTTCATTTGATAACGAAGCACCAATAGGGCTAACGACCATTCTGTTCCTCAGGTCTCAGTCCCAGTATTCCTGCAAAGCCTGTGACCGTGACACAGAAATAAAATGAAAATTAAAGTTTTAATTTAACAGCAAAAAAATAAATAGGTGTGAAACTCAGTGGAAAGCAAAAGGATGGAGCTTGTGAGGAATAAAGGCACATAGTCCATTATTTTTTAGGATTACTGCTCCACCAAAGGAGAGACCTCATGCCACAAACCCAAGGATGAAGTGGATCCTCTTTGGAGGACCATATGACCTATACCATATTTTTGTGGTGGTGCAAAAGCTGGAGACGAGACTGGAACAGCTCAGTTGTGGTCTAAATGTCTTTAAGGCTATTGCTGTAATGAACCATTACTGGGATTGTGATTTCTCTTAGACTGCTGAAAACCAGGAATTGCGTCCCTGAGCACACTAGTAGCCCTGCAGATACAAGGTGTGAAGAGGTGATAAAAGCAACACACTATGGTGCTAATTTAAACCTAGGAATGACTGTAATTAGCTAATGAAGTGAGCTGATGCTAGATGCTCTCCTCTCTGGCTCAGAAGGGTCAAACCTGAAATTTAGACTGTTGTTTTCTTCTGTTTTGAGGGACATGAAAAGAGCATATTTTCCTTCATGAGAGAACTGTGGTTGTTTCTTCAAGTGTTGACTAAGGGTTAAATTAAATCTTCTTGCAGATGCAGGCTACTCAGTAAGTGTATGGGCGTGTATATCCACACCGACTGGGAATTTTATATACCTGAGATTAAACACAGCCCAAAGGAAGGAACTGTCACGTTCACTAGAATGAACATCAAAGATTTATTTACAGCTCTGTCTTCCCCATTAAACTCCTGTATTATAAAATATGCAAAATAACATATTCTGATAGCAGTTAGGAAAAGTATCTGACCGTCATCCTGTAAGGGAATCAACACAAGTAATCCCATGGCCAACATAAAGCCCTACTGCTCTCCGTGAAGGCCTCTATTCCTTGTATTGCTGTCAACATTTTCATTTTAATGAAAATAGGTAACAAGCAGAACTGACGCCATTAAAATTTTGATAGCCAGTAAAAACTATTGCTCCTAATTCACAAGGTGTAAATATTCTGCAGCTAGCTTTTACAACCAGGGAAAAAAAAGTCAGTAATGAGACAGGATGTAAGACTGAGAAAGTAAAAGATTTCTATTTTTCTCCAGCAAACAAATAAGATTAAGTATTTTTGTGAAAAATATTTTTCATTAAACTGTAAAATGTTCTAGCTGACATATTTTACATATTTAGACATAATATGTTTCTTCATGCTGTGAATATATTTTTTCATTTATGAGAAGGGAACTGAAAAATCCTTCTTTTCATAAAAACTGAAAGTTTTATCATATCACTATGTCATTTCTTTGGATTTCCACCTTATTTCTTAATGTAGATGGTGACTTAGGAGGCACTTCAGGAACAAAGAAACGTTCTTTTTCATAAAATTAGCTTCAAGAAATCCAAATGCAATATTTGCCACAAATGATATTTGGAATTCTTTTCAGGCAGATTGGAAGTATCTTCTGAGAAGGATAAATGAGAACAGAACTATTACCCTGCATGAAATATATTTGCAATAAATAAAAGATACTCTGTAAATGTACAGATGCGGTAAGTTATATTTCATACTTATTGCATATGACTACACAAGAAGAATGTTTGTTCCATTGCAGATAAATATCACCATTTTTGTAATTCTTTTTTTTCATTTTCAAGCCTTGTAAGTAAATTCAACAGTTTCAGTCAACATATATAAGTAGTTATTGTACATGTACAGTGCAAATTCCTCTCAGTAATATTCCTCCCAGGAGTTGATGTGGAATACATAAAATCATATAACAAATAACTGTTTTGCTTTTCTCTTTCTACCAGAAGTATTCTGCTGGCAATGTTAGTGCTTCCATTCCAGATGCTTGTCATCTATTTTTGCTACCTGGTTTTCATTTGGGGCGAACGACCTCTCTGTTCTACATCATTTCTCTGATAAATAGTTGCCTGTCCACCCTCTTCGAGTACGCACAAAGGAAGAGATGCTTTCGACTTGATGGAAAGACACTTCTAAAAGAGTGCTGCTTTTTAGAATCTATTGTTCTTGATCATAAATGCAAGTAATTTTATGAAAAAGAAATTACCTCAGTCTTTCAGCCTTAGTCCTAATATACCTGATACATATGATTTTCTCGGGGATCTCATCCAGATGAATGTGAACAGTTTTCAGGAAGAATTAAGAAACCAGGACTGAATTTTCTTTCAGCTGCTTATTTACTATCTAATAATATCTTTTACGCTTTTCTTCTGGTAGAACAACATTTAGAATAACCGACACCCCAGGTGCAGAATGGCCCCTCTTGCCATTGCCAGCTGAAGCATTTGAATTTCTGTAGGGCTCTATAGCCCAGGTGACATATATTACATTCATCTTATTGGTTTCCTGTCTTCCACTTATTAAAAGATTATTCCAGTTATTCATGGATTACAGAGTATTCTTCATTCCATTCTAATGTGTTTTAAGTGGCATTTATTTCTTTCTTGCATTTGAATTTTTTGTTTACCAATTATGAATGGGACATCTTAGGAATATTATGTGGGTTTTTTTAAACTCTGGAAAGAAGGAAATAAACTTATTAGGTAGTATTTTTGATTAAACTACCTGGGTTTAGACTTAAAAATAGAGTTCATTTGTATGTAATGAAAATAATTGCTTTATAAGTTATGTTCTTTCTGAAACAGCTCCAGTGCTTTTCAGTATATTGCTTAAATGCAAATGTGTAAATGCAAATCTTTTGGTTGTTCTTTCCAAATACACAAGGGTTTCTAAAGTGATGCATTTTAGGAAGAGTATGATAATCATGACTATAGCTTAAGTTATACCCTACTATTTCATCTTGTACTCCAGAATAAAGAAATTTTAGATGAGCTTTAAAGTGCTACAATGAATGCAAGTGTTTCTAATGCAACAGAAGCTTTGAAGCTTTGATTTCTGGACATACTGGAATGGAAGATTTTGCATCTTCTGAACAAAATCACGCTGTGAAGTGAAGAAGAGTCGGTCTTCTCCACCCCTGAGCGCTCTGCACCATCCCATCCGCGTGAGCAGGGGCTATTCCTGGTCTGCACACATCATCTAGGGTAGGGTGTTCATTGGATTGATTGTGTGCAGGGAATCTCAGCCATGGACAAATAAGTGGTTGGGCTGGGGCAGAACAGATGCCTTAGTCATGTGAACTTGGTGGGCAGGGTCTCCAAGAGAGCCTGGGCCACCTTCTAACTGCAGCCCTTGGGACTGGTTTGGAAGGAGAGCAGCTGAGACAGCGTTTGCCACATGGGTGGCGGGGACAAAAGCTCCTTCCTGCGGGATGGAAGCCCTGGCAGCTCCTGGGCAGGAAATTGCAGCACCAATTGTGGAGTTTTTCAGCTTTACTGCAGCCCCAAATTTCTCCCATCCAAGGTTTATTTTGCATTTGCAACTAAATGCCTAGCAACCCTAGCGAAGTGGTGCAGATTGCACATCACACAAATTTTTTCATGAGTAACTAAGCAGAGCTGGGCTTTAACCCTTCCTTAATAGCAGCAGAACCTAGCTATTAAAACTTTACTGGCACATTTGTCATATATTTAATATTTATACTCTAAGTAAAATGCTGAACTGCATTTACATAATCTCTGGCAACGCTAACAGGCAAGACAAATGTTCTTTAAAAAAAGCTGTCAGGAAACCATTCACAGAGACCGGTTGTTTAGCTTTATATAGTTCAAATGACCTGTGATTTAGTACCTGACAGATTGTGTTGTTTGAGTTTCATAGTAAAAATTGTGATATTTTGTTTTTAATAATGAAAAAGGTATTTTCTGGGACTACAGTATATCCTGCTGAATTTGTTATTTATCATAGATAATGATCAGATAGAGGAGTATAAGCTCAAGAAGAAAACACACATTAGTCCTGTTAATAAGGCTTGGCTTAGCACTTAACATTTTGAAAGCACTGAGCAAATATTAACTCTCTTGTGAGACAGAAACATCTCACAGTCCTCACCCCCTTTTACCACTGATGAAGTGCTAAACTGAGGCCAACTTTCTAAAATGTGACAGGGACTGAAAAATTGAGAAGGCAAAAATTGCAGCCCGCTTCTGTCAGCTCTGGATGCTGTGACTTTCCTAAGGCTAAAGGTGACAGGTTTGGGGCAGGCTTGGCTTTGTGGCTCGGCAGACAGGGTTCCCTTTGCTCTTGTGCTGAGCAGCGCGAGGCGACAGCA